CTAGGTCTCTTCCACGCGTCTCGCTGTAGAGTAAGAGCGGCAAGACGAGGAGGAAAAGGTGCGGAAAGACAGAGATCGACCGTGGAGACGGAGCGAGAACAACGATATTGTGGATGAGCGTACACGCGCGAAAGAGACATAATGGCACTATTGCAATCTGCATACATTATACGCGCTCGCGCGTTTTCTCTCCGCTTCGTCCCGCGAGGAATCATCGTGAGGCTTCCATCTCTCTCACGCTTTCCCTTGCTATGCGTTCTTCTATCGCTCACCCGCGATCTCTTTCCTTCTCGCTCCCGGTGGTGTCGGCGTATACAGGATTATATACTTTGTCCTCACAGTGTTTCTCACGGAAGCTGACTCGGGACGCATGACGGTCCCAAGGTCTCATTGAATACATGCCGCCGCCTCAAGAATCGACTCCGCCGCGCGTTTATCCGTCGCCGGAATTGCTCGGAGCCATCCGGTTTCCGGTGTCGCTTACTTACAATGGAAAGAAACGCCGCGATTCCGTAGGAAAAATTTTGCATTATATCCGAGCATGTCCAAACGTGCGAGCCCCATGTGCGATACGTTATCGTAGTTTAAAATTGATATATTTCCTGATGTTGGGAATATTTAAATGTATAAAGCGGCAAAGCGGTCGTAATAATTCAAACAATGGCGATTCTTAAAATATATATATATACCAATAATTCCTAAAAAATAATTCTTTTTTAAACAAATTCACACAACTTGAAGAAATTTAATGTAAAAAAGTGAATATATTTTAACGAAAATAAACCAATTAATTTAATTTCTTTAATTATTCTTAGAGAGAGAGACAAGCGTTACGCTGAATATTGAAAAAATAACGCTGGAATATATAATAAATCTCCTTAAAAGTAAAACTCATAAAATTAACATTTTCCCAAGAATTGCAATTTCACAATGCCTGTCCGATGGCGGAGCAGTCGGCTCGAGGTGGCACGTCGCCGAAAAGGACGACCTATCGGCCGTGTATACCGGACCAGATGTTTACTACTGGCAATAATGGCGCGGGCGTTTAATTAATTAATAGCCTCCGTAGTCTGCACAGGCATGGACGTCTCTCGTCTGACATTTCGAGTGACAAGCCGATGTTCCTAGGTAGCGTGACCGGCCTCTGTGTCCCGCGCATTTATTATTCAACACTCCGATAGGTTATACGTCGTGGTACTTGGAAATCGCGTTCGGGCCGGCCGTATCACGCGTCGCATTAAAACGCTCCGTGCAAATTGACGTCGCGCGCGCGACGACCCGTTCCACTTGCCGAGAAAATGTCCGGCGGCCTCGGGCGAGGATTAACGCGTCGCTCGCGACACGAATTTTATCGCCGTTAAACGCTCATTTGCACCGTCGATTGATCCATCGACCGTAACGCTGCACGCGATAAATCTTCGTCGGCGCGGAAATCGAGTTCCGAAGGATGATGAGGCAGACGTTCGCGCGAATATCCACGTCGGCGGCTTTTGAAGACGATATCGCCGCGAGGAAGAGAGCGGCGACGCGCGATGTAAATGCCATCGATAATAAAAAAAAAAAAAATGTTTGACGACACGCGAAATTATAGTTTTCAACTTTCCTTGTACAGACTCTCAAGTGAAGATTAATTGCTATATCTCAAGTTATAATTTAAAATTACATTTACAGGAAACCACTTTTTTACGTATCAAATGTTATTTAAATTTTACTTAATAGATTTAAATAAATAATTTTGTTGTAGAAACAAACGCACACTATCATTTATCCTCGTAACAATGATCACGAAACGAATTATTGCGCAATTTCCAATAATGTGGAGAAAATTATATTCGGCAGTCTCGAGAATTATATACAGGTTTCTTATCGCCAGGATAGCGATATATATTCAGTACGTGGAGAGAGAATCCAGCGAATGAGAGAGAGAGAGAGAGATCCACTTGACAAACCGTGCGCCATAAACAGGCGCGTTCTCCGGAGCGGCGATCCCCTCTCGCGACATAACCGTAGATTCGACCCGCGTTGCATATTTGATGTCGCCCGTTCCATGATCGCCCAGAATTTTCCCCGGTGGATCGTGGCGGGCGGTCATAAGAGCTCTCAGTGATTGAGGGTTAGGGCAGAAGCCGATATGCCGCCGGGCCCGGCGGTTCCTCGCGCGCGCGCGCGCGCGCGGCGGCGGCATTAACTTTTCATCTTTATATAATTCCACGGTCATGCCGCGCCGCACCATGGCAAGTAGGTAGGTACGTAGATATGTTCCACACGGACACACGGCCGTGCCACCTCCCGTCCACCTACCCACCTTTTCCGGGCCGCGCCGGAACCGGGCGTAATTGCCAGCGATAAAGATCCGCCGAGATACGAGCCCTCGTTACGAGATTTGCCACCGGTGGGACCGCCGATTCGCGGCTGCCTCCTCTTCCTACGCCTCCCCCATCACCATCTGCTGCTGCTGCTGCTGCTGCCGTTACCCCGGACGCTCCTCGTCGGACTCCTTGCGTATTCACGATGCATTTTTACGAGCGACGTCTACGAGCGATGTTGAGTGCCGTATACGCGAGGCCCGGCTCTCACTAAATCATTCGCGAACCTACCGATTATCTGCCGCTCCTCGCGTTTACAATTCCAACGCGAAGATGTGGGACAGTCGAACCACCGTAGTTCCTCCGCGCGAGTTCGGAATTTTTCTCTTAATTAAGTTGCTTTCCTTAAAATTGTCCCACATCGAAATATTTCAAACCATAATTGTAATCTCTATTGGACGTAGATTATCACGTGTCTGTTGAAAATATATCTCGACACGTCTTAGTCGCCGTCTCGAATTTATGGTATCGGCGAGAAAAGGAGAAGAAGGAGGAGAGAACGGTCGTCTAAGACGGGGAGACAAAAGATACGGCGCGGCGACTTACTACGTCGTCGTCGTACGCGTTTCGGGGAGAGGCCACGAAACCACTTTGAGGGAAATCTATTGCATCCGTGGGTCGAGGCAACCGCGCGTCGAGAGGGCGAGTGTGGGCTCAAATGACACGGAATAAAAGTAATGCCCGGCGATACACACCGCCCCTGCTAAGAACACCCTTCTTCTCTCACCCTCCGGCCGGAGCCGTTCTTAGTATCCGCGCTGGAGGGTTCCCGCTGGGAAGCGAGCAATCGATATCCGGGATAAGAAATGCCTGCTCGCACTAGAAAGTCTCACACTGCTATTGATCCGCAATTATTTTCCGATACGTCGTAACAAAGGTGACGTACCGTGGTTGATTTCAATTGTTAAAATTACGTCCCTTAATTTCCGCTAGATATTAGAGGGATATCATACAGAATATCTTTTTTGTATCTTTCTTAATAAAATTGAAAAATCTAAAAAAACTTCTAAAGAAACTTTTGAAGAAAACGCAATTCTTCTTTTTATTCCGCAAGCATTATTTATGAAATCTGCGCGACATTTTCGCAGGAAAGCACATGTATTCAATATAAAAACAAATAAATATTTTATGACACAATAACGTTAATTCTTATCTACTTTGTTTTAATATTATAACGTAAAAACTAACGTGACATATAATATGTTAAAATCACAACTGATTGTTTACGTCAACTCGTTTGCATTTTATTCGGAAGTTGATCTAATCTATCACGGAGGACTTGGACGGTTTCTCAGATCTTACCCGGCAAGTCATCGACTCCAATCAACGACCGTTCAAGAGACGTGTGGTTTGACGTTCCGAGAAGCTCTAGAAACTTAGTCTCACGAATAACCCGAGCACACGCTACAAGGACACGCGGCGATGTGTCCATCGTCGTAGCGAATCGATTCCGCGAAATCGGCCGATCTAATTTACGTAGGCGCACGCGAGATCTTTTTTCGTAGCTTTTAAGTTTAGCCGCTATTTACCTATCCGATGTGTCGCGCATAATCCGACCAGATTTCGCCTTCTTTTTATCGACTCTCGCGCCGATTGACTGCCCGAGGCGGCTTTTTGATAGACTTAATCACACGACCTGGTGTAATCGAATCCCTCGTTCGAATGACTCGGCTGAAATCGATAAATCGTTTTATAGCACTAAATCGAAATCTCATTAATTTGTATCATATACTAATGTAAACTTTCTTGCGATAATGTTTGAAGTAATTTATACATAACTTTATGCACTTTTTATGTATCTTTTAAATTCGTGTGTAGAACTCTTGAAAAAATATAAAAGTATATAATGTATGTCTTCTCATATCTAAAATTTTTTTTTCAGGATAACATAAATCTCAAAACATAATTCTCTTTTATTATAAAATATTAGAAACGCGTTATATTTCTCAAATTATTCGCAACATGAAAAGTAAAATCTATATTTGAAATTTATACAATACTGTTTGAGAATATCGAGAATGTATTAAATTGCGAAAATAAGGAGAAAATTGTGCTGTATCAATCATAAGAAATGATCTTCATCGAAACAACGGTAAAGATCTTATTGCAATTCTCAGCGATTCCAAAAGCGTGACATACTGTTCAATATATCGTGCAGAGTTCAAGGTCGATTCTAGTAGAGGCACGTCGATTAGATTGCAAATCGAATATACTTACCTTTGGGTAGAAGTTGTATGAAGGTGCTGAAGAATTGAAGAAAGTTTCAGTGTGCGAACGTGCTTTAGCAACTGACGGATATCGTGTCTTCTGCGATAATTCGACGTCGACTGAGACGATCTCCTTGAACACGAAAATATACTTTATGAAGGACATATTCAAAGGCTAAATTTTTATTTCTATCTTTAATGATTTTTTGATTATTTTTATTATAGCTATACACCTTCTTTATTTTAATCGACTATATATACTATTTTATTGTCAACAAAAAATTTAGATCAAACAGGACAAAAAACACGAGCTTCAATTTTTTGAATCTTTCGATATATATTTAGTATTACCAAGAGTATATATATTGATCGTTTCTTATCTCTCGCGAGAATAATATTGATCGAAGAGGACTTCCTGCTGTTTCAACCATGTTTCGAAAATTGACATACTAACCTACTAAAGGGGATATATGCTATGACGTCAGTCGGTTTTCCTACATAGGGGTAATTCCGAACAGTGGGGTACGTTCTGCGCGGGATCGATATTTTGGTCCATAGGGCTCGTCGGCATTAAAGAGGAGAAGACGCCTCTGTTGCGAGACTTATACATTGCAAGCATCGTCATCGATGTCAGCTTCTCGCAATATTAGCGCACAACTAGACGCATTCAGAGAGCCCACCGCGCGAAAAGCATTCCCCGCCTTAATTCTATTACCAGTAACGAATCTCTCTCCGGCGCGGGCCAAGATTGATCGTCGGGGTAAAAAAAGCGAGCAGCCGAGCGCGTGCTCGACCATCCGGAATAAAGACCGGCGCAGGAGGGACTGCGAGACGCGACGAACGTCGATTAAAACTTTTGTAAGCCGCCTTGGACGGATCATTGGTCGCCTCGGCAAACAAGAGTGACAGAGTTCCGCTGGCGGCTTTTTGCCCCGGCTCGCTTTTTCTCGCGACTCGGTGCTAAGCTGTTAGTGGAATTGACCGCCAAAGCGGCTTACCCTCGTTCTCCCTCTCTTCTCGTCCTCATGATCACGTTTCCTCTGACGCGAACTTTTGCGAGATCAATCGGGACACATTAGCGAAGCTGTTTATCAGACACGCAGAATTGAGGCAGAGAAAATATGTTTCAATATTTGACTTGATAATGTTCGACATATCTCTTTCTCTTTCGAGAAATGGAGAAAGAGAGAATTGTCTTTTAAAATATAAATTTTTATTAGCCCTCGTTTTTTTCCGCTTGAGATCAAAGGCCTTAGATAATGTAATATTAATACAATGTATAATGCAAAGTATAAATTGAGTTTGAGAGAAAGAGAGAAGTTTAAACAACAGTGAAGCATGATCAGATAAAGCGTGTCCAGATAATAAAAACTTACCCATTATAAAATCGTTTAAAAATAATAAATATTAATTAGCCTTCCTGACGCTCTTGATTTGGCAGAGTTAACAGCCGTATTAAGATGCAACGGTCAAAAAGGAAGCAAAGTACAAATTACGCTTTGAGGAAATTTCCGAAACGGCGGTCGATCGACCAATAAGATGCGCCGTAATTGCCGAAAGTGGCCGAATCGATATTTGATCGGCCGCGCGATATTACATAATTAACGTTAATATTACCGATCGACGGATGCTATACAAGAGCCACGGTGTACGCGCGAATGCACGTTTCCGTAGGATGCAATTATTCGACGCCTCTCTTAGAAGCGAGCGCATGAATTATTCGGCGTATAAGCTCGAGGCTCGTTAACTCGCGAAACGGAACGAAGACCATCGACAATCACGATGTCAAAGTCGGGGCAGGTGCCGACGGTGCGACGCGCACGACTTCCGGTGCGCGCTCGCACCCGCGGCACTGCGCTCTTTATGCACTTGTTGCACAATCTACCTAACGATCTCCCTCTTCCCCGCGAGCTTGGATTAATAATCACGGCTCCGTCGTAGTCCTGCGAGAGACGCGCGGTCCGGCGCGGAATCCTATTTAAAAATAATTGCGTACCCGCTCGCGCTCTCACCTGGTGGTTTCCTGTACTTGATTACGGCTAATTGTTCGAGATTTACAAGTATAATGGCACGTTTAATGCGGCGACTTACGTGACGGCCCTGAGACCGACTGTGTCGTCCCGCAGACACAACTTGTGCACGACGAGCGAGCGAAAAAAATAATCTCCCTCTTTATAAGAGGCGACGCCGCGTCTTCGAGTTTCCTGCACGGAACTGTGACGAAACGATTGTCGGATGAGCGCAACTGACCTTAGAATTGCAAAGCAGTATAATTATGCGAGAATGAATTGTCTCGACCGCAGTAGTGTGTCAGAAACGCATCGGAAATAAAATTATGCACGAGCGTTATATCGAGAAAGGAAATCAGTATTCTTTTGAAATAATTCAGAATTATTGCAACAGTTTTAACAACGATAAAAGTAATTACAGCTTTGAATTGATCGGTTCTCTTCTTCGAATAATATGTGCCATTATATTTTCTCCAGATTTCTTTTCATCACTCCTGCAAAGTTTCCTCTTTGTGACCTGTGGTTTACGTCTCGTCTTTAGTTTGTTTTCAGTTTAATATAATAACGATAATGCATACAAACGCGATGCTTTGAATCCTGCTTGGCGCGGACTCTACAGATCCAAATTACCGAAATGCACTGACCTTTCGACAGGGACTCTGATTTAAAATCCGGAATTAGTCGGGAGTAATCTCCCGTTCCCAAAGCTCTCTTTTCTCTGTATCTTCACTTCCTCTCTCTCTCTCTCTCTCTCTTTTTTCTCTCTTCTGAATCGTCACAACGCGCGTCTTTATGAGGGCACATTTGGACATTTCTGCAATTCGTTTGAGCTATCAACGAAATGACCATTCGGTATCGTCGAAGCGAATAAACAAACGCGAATATACGAATATACGAAGAGAGAAAGAGAGAGGAGAAAGAAAGATGAAGAGAGAGAGAAAAGAACATGGAGAATCGGCCACCGCCAATCTGTCGCTGGCTGCATTAGCCCGGGGGATTGGCTTTTCAAAAGTCCACGTTTGATGGACCATCCTCTTTCTCTCTCTCTCTCTCTCTCCTTTTCTCTCTCGCTCGCTCGGATACTTTTAAAGTAAATTAGCTTTTTAGTTTTCTGTGACTAAAAGCCCGGGAATATAGCATGTACATATAAAAGGAAGGAAGGGCTTGCTCGAGCGCCGTGTCTGCCGGAGGGTTCAACCGCCTCAATGTCTGAATGGACTCTTCCTCTTTCTCTCTCTCCTCTTATTCTACGTCCAGTCTTGTATTCGCGAGCTATCGTTCGACCTATTCGTATGTGTACGTGTGTCTAAGTCAGACAAACGCGTTAAACTACTCCTGCACCGTATGTACGTCTGAATGCCCAAAAACACAAAGTGCGCCACTGTATCGGCAAAGAGTAGAGAGCGGTCTCCGCCCGCGCGTTAATTCACGTGAAAGATCAGCCGAGCGGCCGCGCCCCGAAGCGACGATCGCTTTTGCCAACTGGCGTTGACTCTCTGCCGCCGGAAAAAAGGATAAAGTCTCGCTCTCCCAGTATCGAAATAACCACTGAGAGAAATCTCGCTTTTTGTGCAAAACATGCGTAAGAGTCTCTTTGGAAAGATATCGTGAAACAAGCGTTTTCGCAAAAGGACGAAGCGTGGATGATGGCGGAGATTGGATCAAGCTTTTGAAAGAAATAAACGAAAAATAGATCAACATGATAAGTAAAGGAATATTATGATTTAAAGTATATGATACAATATCTGGTGAAAAGTATTTGATTTCTAAAGTTAATAATAAAAAAGGAATATACATAAACATATACATATATATGTGTGTTTGTGATAGGGATATTATCACAAATAATTTCATGTTATAATCTTATATGGTGTTGTTTTAGTTTCATAATTCCATGTTAGGCAATAAACGAAATTGTCGGTTAATACGCGGCAAGCTCATTGGTTACACGATTGAATTACCAAACAAAATTCTTTCGGAGCGTAGAAGCGTAGGCAAAGTTGCCGCAGCTATCGAATTTACCTCTCAAACTGATTTCATTGTATTACAGCGGGGAGGGTTATGTAAATTGATGAAATGGAGATCAAGCTCTGAATGAAATTGAGATACACCCGGCTGGGGAATGCGCAATTTATTGCAAAAATATTCGTTTTTAATATGGCGCAGCGAAAACTGTAGCGCGAGAAATGTACACGCCGCGATATTTATATATCAAATATGTGTTTTGCATTTAATTGCCTGGCGCGAATTGATCGCGGACTCGAAAGAACAATTCGTTTACGAAAAATGCCAAGCGTGGTTGGTATCTGTTTTTTTATTTTTTTTATTGCTGCACAACCACCAGCAAATATAATAGTTTTATGCTTTAAAACAACAGAAACAAAAATTATTCGTAATTCTTCTTACTGATGTTTAACCTACTCGAGATTTTGTATAGTAAATAATTTTTGTTTACTATGTAAAATATGTAATTTTGCAATCCGCACAAAAAAAATATATTTTTTTTATAAATATATAATTTGCTAAGAAATAATTCAATGTTTAATAGATTACATATAGTTAAATTATTTCTTACAACAAATAATGATTTTCTATGTTCCAAGATTATAAAAATTCATTTTCTATCTTATAAATAATAAATTGAATAATCTCATGTATGTAAAATGCCGTTAATCTCTGATGTTCAATTTAAATATATGTAATCAATAGTTGAACGACTAATATATAAGATTACCGTGTGGTTATTTCACAATCTTTCTCGATAAAAATACGATTCCTAGCAAAGTCGTTTTATCGTGAACACGTATCGTCACGAAGGCAGAAATATAAATTCCACAGCAAGATCAATTCCGCCTCGAGATTCGTTCTCGGCTTGGCGTTTTATAGATTTGCCGATCTGAGATCGAAGGAGATTTCGCGCGCGAGAGTATAACTAGATTACGCTATCAAACCGGCCTCATTACGACGTGGTTAGTTTTCTTCGATCTAGGAAGTGTGCGAGAGAGTATAATCCAGATTTCGCACAGGCGCGTATACGAGCCATCGGGCGATAAATAATCGAACGAAATGGTGGAAAAAAGAGAGGGGAGAAAAGCGAGAAAAAGAACGAAAGTTTAAAGGCAAATACTCACAGACTCCCCGCGAGGCGACCCCGGCT